TTATTTCTCAAAGTCAAGTTGGTTAAAAATACTAAAGATGAAATAGCCTATATAATCAAGACTTTAGAAAGGGAAGCCACTTCTTTTTTTTTTTTTTTTTTTTTTCTACACATAATGAATGTGTTCTCTTTTTTTCTGTTCTTTTCTTTTTACTTTTTTTTTTTTTTTTTTTTTAAGGCTTCCTTATTTAAAATCCTGAAACGGCTTTTTTTTTTTTAGTTATAAAATCATTCTTTCAAGTATAAGATAAAAAATTTAATACTCTTTATACAAGGAAGAAGATTATCAACAAATCGGACCCGATCCAATTAGTATGAATAAACAACTTTGAATTGAGATAATATGAAACAAATTCATCAAACTTGCAATATTCTTATGAGATTGTAGAACAATCAGGAGATGTACATAAATTCTCCACTTATACCTCCAATTTTCAATTGATATAGATTTAATTCAAAAGAAGATATTATGAATATCATAAATGGGTGAACCCAAATATGAATTTAAAAAAAAAATTTATTGAAGAAGAAAAGCCTAATTTAAAATATGTATAAAAAATCACCCAGACTCCGGTATTCAATTCAAGGTTTGTGTCAATTCCATTTTAAGGAAAACAGGCCACATGACAAAGAAAATTGTTTATCATATCTGGGTTAGCCCTTAATAAATAACCTTGAATTATCCCAAGTCTATGACTAAAAGGGGAATTTAAGATGATCAATCTTAATAAGAATTGCTCATAAGTTTTCTCAAAGGGAGTAATAAAGCCAAGAGTAAACTTAGGCTAATATTTGACTTTATAAAATACTCACCATAAGAGAAAACTTCAGATTTATAACAAAGGTTTTTTGTATAATTGATTAAGGTCATTTTCTTTATCGCGCATTGCCTTAAGATCCATTTCTATCAGAGTTAAACCACATAGTAGAGGACAAATCGTCGGTATCCATGTAGTACCCTAGGAAATAATTTTAAAAGCATCTTAATTCAACCTACCTGAAGGCTTAAAAAATGAGGGAATTCAAAGATATTTTCAAACTTCAATATATATCAACCAATAATTATTCATTTCTAAGATTAGAAAAATCATAATTTGGTTGAATTATGAGAATTTGAAAATTATATATTTGAATTTAATGACGATTGCTAGGAACTTAGCAAAAATCAGTAAAAATTTCTTGTTGCTTTGAGTTTCCAAAAGGAAAGAGATTGAATATAATCTTCATCTAAAGTGTTATCTACCCAAGTGGAGGGAGGGAGGGAACACACTTTTCATTTTAGCATTGATAACCATAAGTCTTATTCTTTAAAGATTTAGAGAGTCAACCACAATGAAGTTCTAATTACAATTTAAGGAAGATAGAGGTAAATTTCTTTTTAAAAAAGAAATCAACCTGCTATTTTCTCTAGCCAAAAAATTATTTTTATAAGCTTGATTACTATTCGAACCTTCAAACTTTTCTCAATGTAATTGAATTTAATCTTTGAAAATGTTGATATATCAGGTTATGAACTCTATCCTAGCAAACATATCAAGCTACAAAGGACATGTTAACTACCCAATATGTTAATAGACAAGCAAAAAAAAAGTTTTGAATTGAAGTTTGAAAGCTTTTGGACCCTATTCCTACCAAACATATTAAGCTATAAAATATTATAACTGTTAATATGTTTGATTTAGATATGGAGAAAAACTTTGATTTAAAGCTCAAAATTTCCTTAAGATTTATCCAGGCCGCATATTTAAAGTACAAAAATATATAAGTGCAACATGTTGGCAAGGGACACGGAGGAAGTTTTTAAAACTTTTTGAAGACTTAAAGTTATTTTTGACCCAATCCAAATAATACATTAGTTACTACAAGAAGTAAACATATACATATTACTAAAAGATTGGCAAAGGATTTTGACCCAGTGCTAAGTCAAACATCAAGCTAAAAAAAAAAATGTAACTGCAAACATTCGAATTTAGCACAGAAAAATTTACTACAAAAAGGCTCGTTATAAAGGAAGCTCCCATTTAATTTTCTAATGGGGTCCCAAAATAAGACCTCTTAAAATTTTTTACGATACCGGCCAATTATCCAAGAATGAAATGAATAAAAGAGAACCGGCGGAGAAGTAGTTACAACCTATGCCAAGGCACAGTTATACTACGATTAAAGGGTATAAAACACTGCTAAGATTGGAGAGAGGATTTCATCCCCAGCGAGTCGCCAGAAAAAAACCTTGGTGGGAAAAATTATTGTATCACCATGCCAGAATTTTGATTTCTCCTATTTTGTAAGTTCGAATACTGCATGAGAATAAAGTACGGTCTCCGAGAGCCGACATAAATATTCTACAATGGATTCAATATCAAAATAGGGTTTTGAAAATTTATATTTCTATAATCAAACATAGTTTTTAAAGAATAGACATATCATCTCAAAAAGATGAACATGAAATTTCTATAGAAATTGTTTTAAGGATAGAAATACATTTTTTTGAAAAAAGTTTATTCATTCTTTTATTTAATATTGCTATAAAAATATTATATCATCTTAAAAGACGAAACATAACATTCTTCAAGATATCCAAAAGCGAGAAGAGTTTTATAAAATCATTATTTCTAAAAGTGAATATAACAAGTATTAATATTATATTATCTGAAAAGATAATAATAACATTTTACATGTCTATTCAAAATTAGAAAGTAAGGTTTTAAAATAATCTACGTTCCCAAAGATTCTTTCCCTTATTTTATACAAATAAAAAAAGGTTTATTTAGTCTGGGGTTTCTCAAAATCCCTATACGAGCAAAGCTCTATTAGTTAATTACATCTAGGAGAGAAGCTCCTAAAAAACTCCTCGATTAAAGCAGTGATTTCATAACCCTTTTGAGTATAAAGAAAAGACAAGGAACAGAGTAAGGAATTTTCAAAGGGAGAAAGCTCAATGTTGAACATTTCATTAGCGGGTCAAAGGAGAAAAGTAGGAGGCGTCGGATTCTGAGGAAGTTCAGAGACAGCCTCAGCCTACCCTATTGTTGGGCTTTACATTTTTAAGAGAAAATTTTATGTTTCAAGTTGACATTTTTATTAAGAAATTTGGGATGATATTTCCGGAAGGCGAGGAATTAAGATCTAAAAAAGAATCTTGCCTCAGACCTAAAATCTAATTTGGGTACTATAAAAATAATGACCGAAGCCAACTAATGAAGTGCAAATCTGGACTTACCCCGGCCGGATTGGGGAGCCAGCTAACCACCTAGGGCGCTTTTAAAACCTGTGTACAGTCTCTTTTATTGAAAGGCATGGGTAGGGACGTTGTTTAAGTTTTAAGGAATTGGGACCGACATTCTCAAGAATAGTTCCTAATTGGGCCCCATTGACTTATGTTAAGGTGAAAAATGTCTAGAAATGCAATTAATATTTTAGACTCTTTTAATTGTATCTTAATGCAATGCATCTAAGACTCGGAATGCATAAATTGGATAAATTGAGCATTTAAAAATTAGGCTTTAGGAAAATAGGTTTTTCCACTAGAGATTGCACAAACTTCCCCTTACAGAACTGCACTCTCATAGGTCAAGTGGTCTGCCAGAACCCGCAGGCGGGGAGGTGCACTAACAAGGAAAGAGAAAGTAATAATATGCTTATTATGCTGACTGCTCGGCGGTCCGAGCTTACTTCTTAGAACGTTTAGAGTTACTATTGTTTGAGCCTAAAAATTTTTATTTTTACATTACAAGTAAAAAATTTTAAGCGTACCCTTACGAAAAAAAAGCACTCCGACTTTCGTATACCAGACTAAAACAAAACACGCATGCAAGAGCAAAAAAAATCTACTGCAACAAACAAATGTAAACAATCAATTTTAATTAATCCCAAATATAATGTCCAATGTCCAATGTCCATATTACACCCAGAATTTACAGAAAAGTAAAAGTTGTCCAGGCACCACTGACAACAAACCCGGATTCTAATCCTAAAGGAATGACGCAAGTTATTTTTTGAAATGCGGTTTACTTTCCTACTCTTCATTCTTCATCTTCTTTCTTCAATCTTTCTTGTTCTGTCTTTTTCTCTTCTACGAACTTCTCGAGTCCGTCGGTTCTAGATATCCAAATGAAAAGAAAACTCATCCCTAAGAGGGGTATTTTCTTTCTATTTCGCGATATTGAAAACATCCTAATTTGGCTTTCCAAGATAAAAAGAGAATTAATCCTTTTAAGGTATATTCTCTTTTCTTTTGGATCCAAATTGTATGTGATATCCATTTTCAAAATCACTTTTCACATATCTTGATTTTTAATACATTACATTTACTTCAACATTTACATCACAGAAAGAAAAAGAAAATCTAAACCACCGCAGGGTTATTCCTAAGCAAAATTCCATTTAGCAGTTTATATATAGCATTTTAAATGTTAAATTAAGTAGCCACACTTGCCACACCTCTTTTTTTATTGGGGCATAAGCAGCTGAAGCACGTAGCATATTATATAAAATTTTTGATTAATAGGGCCCCCTTTTTTACTGCCTGCACGAGTGTGGCCACCTACAGAAAATCATATTAACAATCCAGATCGCTCCTAAACCTATGGTTAATCAATTGTCAATCGAATCACATCACAGAATGCAGTAAAGTAAGTAAACAAAACACACCAATATTTTATAACCAACATGCAATAAAACTAGAGAAAAAGCCCGTCACAAGTGCAGTAAGGA